GCCATGGTCTGGATGAAGTTGTGTCATGGGTTAGAGACAGCATATGGACCTAGGTTCCTGAGCCTTGGACTCGATCCACACAGAGAACAAATAGTTTAATAGTCTTTGCAGCCTAGCAGACAAAGGTAAAACTTGATCCAGTAGCTGGAAGTTGAAACTAGACAAATGCAGACTGGAAAGAAGGTGTACATTTTTCATGGTGAGAGTAATTTCACATTGGAACACGTGGCTAAGCTGAGATGGAGCTTGAACTAGCAGTCTGCTTGCTATTAGCACCACTGTGTTGCCCCAAATAAGGACTAATTGGTTAGAACAGTGTCCAATTCCTAGGCCAGACTGGGGTTAGGAAGTCAATGAGCTAACCCACCCACAATAGGCAAGTATCAGAGGGATAGACATATTAGTCTGAATCTGCAGAAATAACGAGAAGTCCTGTGGCACCATATAGACTAACAGATTTATTGGAGCATAAGCTTTCGTGAGCAAAGACCTACTTTGTCAGATGTATCTGACATGCATCTGACGAAGTGGGTCTTTGCTCACGAAAGCTTATGATCCAATAAATTTGTTAGTGTATAAGGTGCCACAGAACTTCTCGTTTATAACAGGCAAGTGTGTTAAAAAGAGCATGGGAAAGAAAGCATGTGGGCAGGAATGGCAGGAGAGAAGGTAAGGGAGAGCCTGGCAAAAGGAGTTCTGTGATGCAAGATCCTTTACCCCCTACTCCTCCACCACACACATGTTGTAAGGTCTCAGAGTGGTCTGTGTTCATGGGAGGGGCAGGGATCAGGCTATCCAATTGCCCAGGGGCCCCCAGCTGCTGCCAGCAACACATCGGTTCTAAAGTAGGCTTCTTGCCTGCCCTTGCTCTGCACTGCCCCTGGAAGTGGTTGGCACCATCTCTGTGGCTGCAGGAGTCAGGGGGTGTCTCCATGTTTTGCCTTCACCCTGAGGCTACGTCTACACTGGCGTGATCTTGCGCAAAGACTTTAGCACACAAGAAAGTTCCAGTGATTATTCTGATTTTGCCATCTGAAGGGACATCACTGCAAGTGAGCAAAAAACCCAGTACCTTTAATCACATCCTCGTGAGCGTAGCTAAGTTGGCTCTAAATGGATATGGCATCTTACATCTCCATTAACATCACTTTTGCCTCACATACCTGCTCCAGCTCCTCCAGTTTCAATTGCTTTTTTGATTTTCTCCTGGTCTTCCCATCTGAGCTCGGGGAAGCCATCAACATCTGCATGAGACACAAGTCGGGCCCGCTTCCAGAAACAAGCATAATGATGCCAGTGGGGGACTTTACCATCAAACATGGGTGACTAGGAAGAAAGCAACACTAGAATGAGGGGAGGAAATTCAGATAAGGAAACATAGCCACTTCTGTATATTAACCTAGACACTTTGGCTACGTCTACACTGGCCCCTTTTCCGGAAGGGGCATGTAAATTTCATGAGTCGTAGTAGGGAAATCCGCGGGGGATTTAAATATCCCCCGCGGCATTTAAATAAAAATGTCCACCGCTTTTTTCCGGCTTTTCTAAAAGCCGGAAAAAAGCGGCGGACATTTTTATTTAAATGCCGCGGGGGATATTTAAATCCCCCGCGCATTTCCCTATTGCGATTTCAAAAATTACCATGCCCCTTCCGGAAAAGGGGCCAATGTAGACGAGCCCCCTGAGTGTTTATTCTGAAGCTCCCATTGGCTATGAACTGCAGCCAATGGGAGCTGTGGGAGTAGTACCTTCTGGCAACAGTGTATGAAGATCCCCTTGCCTCCATGCCTAGCAGCTGCTGCCAGAGGGGTCTGTGTGGGTAGCTTTCAGGAGCTGCCCAAGGTAAACACTGCCCTCTCCTGCACCTAAGTCCCACCTTAACCCAGAGCCCACACTACGCAAATCTCAGGAAAGCCATGTCCACACAGGTGTGGGTTGTGCATGAGTACGGGCCCACTGACTTGCCCTGGGGCCTGGAATTGCTGTGGACTGGCAGAACAATTTACGAATGGTTGTAGTGGATTCTATCACTGACAACTTTTAAAGCAACATTTAATGTTCTAAAACACATTTTCTAGGAATTACTTTGGGATAATGATCACAGTGTTCCCTTCTGGCCTGAGAATCTATAAACATTTTATGTTAAGTATGTAAACTTCTTGGGGCAGGAACCATGTGTTTTTCCATGTTTTGCACAACATGAAACCCACTATTACTGTGTAATATTAGACTGTATATAACCATCATTGAATAGAAGATCAGAGCACTTAAATTCAAAACCTGAGTAAATTCATTAAAAGATTAATATATTGTACATTTCTTGATAACAAAGAAATCAACCTTGTTATGGGTGAGAGAGAGAGAGTGAGGAATGTATGAGATATAAGTGTGAAGGTCACTGCACCAAATGTTCTAGGAAGAAGCCGAGAACAGACGTAAAGAAGCCAAAGATTGCTGTATATTCCCACCGAGATGAAAGCGGTGGACAAATAGATGGCTCTGAAAGAAGGCAAGCATTTATCAATTGGACAAAATATTTGTGATAGAAACCAGCTTAGGATGGCAGAACAAAGAAGATAAGGAGCAAGAGGAACAAATGGAAATAAACATCCATCAGAAAAACAGCATGATGATGCAAAACCCTGCTGATCTTGATGGAGAGAACTATTATAAAAGGAGAACTATTTTGCCTTAAGAACGGGGATGTTCTGCCATGTCTGGAGCATTGATCCAGATTGATAGACCCCAGCTCCTCCACCCATGATGAATCCACAGACCATGGACTGGTAAATATAACATTGATTCGGGGGGTCGGGGGTCTCTATGTAAGCATATGCTAACTTCACCATCGTATTCTCAATAAATGTGGCATATTGCCTATTCCCCCTATAAAGATCCCATGTGCTTCGTATAAGCATAACAAAGTCACTGAGCTCTGGGTTGAAGAAGAACAAATTGTAAAACTTTAAAAGGTGTGATCTAGGGAATTACAGATCAGCAAGCCTTATAGCTGTACTTGGTCAATTGGACACGCTAAATAAATTGGTTGAAGTATTTAAAAAGCCCTGTGAGATACATACATGATAGGGTCTAATATAGTTTCTACAAAGGAAAAATTTCACTAATCTCTTAAATCTTTGAATGTGTCAGAATAATGGCTAAAGAACTGCTTGATGTAGCTTAGATTTTAAAAGGCTTTTTTCAAGATTCTTCACAAAAGAAGCTAACTAGTCAGAGCCTGTGTCTCATCTGTCAAGTATAGGACTATATAGCCAATTTCAATCACAGCTAGAAGTTAAAAGTGGGATGCCTCAGTATTCTTCTCTAGATCTGGAAAAGGGGGTGACTATGAATGTTACAATTTACAGATGACTAAAATGAATGTCAACCCAGAAACAATTCTGAGGAACTTTGAAGAAATCTAAACAATGATTAGTGGGAAATGTGCCAAATGAAGAACATTGTTGACTAAAGCAAATAAATGCAGTTCACTTTATAGGCTTGTAAAAAGAACCTCATGGCTCAGTCCAATCCCATGAATGTAAATTTATCAAGTTCTATCTTAAACCTAGTTGTTTGCCATCATAATTCCCAGAGGGAGACTATTTGCAGAACTTCATTCTTTTGAGGGTTAGAAACTTTAAGTTCCACCCTAAATATATTCATACCAGTTTATACCTGTTTGTTCTTGTGCCAATATTAAGCTAAGAGCCAGCTATTCTGCTTGCCTAGTGTGGATCCATTCTCCTGACCCCTGACCCTCATTCACCAATCATACAGTTGGCATGTTAACTTTACTGAAGGTGAGAGTGTAGAAGGGCTCTAGAAGTGTAGATACCTGCCCAAATAAACCAGGGTTTGATTGACTTTTCATTGTCAGGCTTTACAGTTTTCTCCAGCCCCTGTTTTGTTTGTTTTGTCTCTCTCTCTCTGCCTTCTCAGTTTTAATGTGCATTAAAGGACCATTATCAATTTAATACAAATTGTCTCTGTAGCAGTCTGATAGTAATTGCCTGTTGAATGCTAATCCAATTGATTAGTATAAGCCCACATTTCTAAAATTGTGGGTCCCGACCCCCCCATGGGGTTGCAAGCAACTTGGGGGGTCATGCTATCACAAAGTTTGAGAACCCCTGGTACAAGCAATAAAATTGCACGGAGTGGGTTAGGATTTGACTATGCCCAGCTAACATTGCAGCAGCTGCTGTGCAGCAAATCCCAGTTCTGCAAAGACTTATACACAATTCATTTTATTCATGCCAGTAGTCCTACTGATTTTGATGGGACTATGCATATGCATAAATCTTTGCAGGAACAGGGCCTAAGCATGGTAAGTGAAATGAGTTTTTCCCCCAATAAGCCAACTCCAGCATGCCAAAGTACAAACTCCAACAATTTGTGCTATAGTCCTTTTAAAAAGTCAGCCCCCATCTTTAAAAGGCGTGTGTTTTCCTACTATCCATTGCTGTAGGATAGCTGTCACTGAAAAGCCCTCCACTTTTTCCTCCTCCCCCCTCCGAAAAGCAATTCTTCAAGCCAGCCCATCTAGTGGCTGGCTCGTGACGAATGGTGCATTTGGAAAAATATTACACAGGGCATGGTTTTGCAACGCTTTCCAGCTGTAATGCCCCCGCCCCTCCGCTGCTTTTACTGGTATCTAAGAAATTGCTAACCATCTGCAGACTGGATAACTTGATTAATTGACGCCAGTTAGTGCCAAGCACTAGTATGACACGGGATTTGTGCAGCGTGGTGACTTTACTAGGGCTTGCACAATGCGCAGCTGCAGTCAGAAACGGGAAAGGGGGAGAGTCTGTCCTAAGGAGTCTTCTCCCGGGCTCGAAGCCCGCGTGGCGCGAGCCAGTGACTCCAGAGCAGCTCGCGGCTCCGGGAAAGCCTTTTAAAGTTGGAGCTGCAGCCGTCCCGCCCCCCGCGGCCACTTATTGGCCGCGCTGTGCTCATCATTTTCCCCGCTAGCGAGAGGGAGGGACTAGCGACGGCGCGGAGTCTGGCGCTGTGGCTGCTACCGCCTGGTTTCTACACGGGGAAGAAACGTGAGGGTGGCTGCTGAGGCAGAGGGAGTCGCGGCGCGTCTATGCGCACACGGAGTCCGGGCAGCGCCAAGCGAGAGGAGGAGGACTTAGTCCCCCAACGGAGGAGCAGCAATTGCAGCAGCAGCAGCAGCAGCAGCAGCCGCCGCCGCCGCCGCCACCACCGCCTGTGATTTCTGCCCATACTAGCGGCAGCTCTTTTCTTCACCCCCACCCCAATTTGCGTAGAGTCTTTGTGTCTTGTGTGTGTGTTTTGCACACTCCTGCCAAACAAAGGGGGGCGGGGGGGAGGCTGGGAGAAGACATGCGTTCCGTCAGGAAGAGGTGGACTATCTGCACGATAAGTATCCTCCTGATCTTTTATAAGACAAAAGAAATAGCGAGGACTGAGGAGCACCAGGAAGCGCAACTCACGGGGTAAATGCAAAGCCTTGACTTGTAAGGATTGGACAAAGGGAAAGCCGCGTGTGACATTTAAATGACTCAGATTCTTTCTTGCTTCTCTCTGTCTCTCTCTCTTTTTCTGGGCAGATCTCTCTTTCTTGCTTCTCTCTGTCTCTCTCTCTTTCTGGGCAGATCTCCTCCCTCCCCCCATTTCCTTGTTTTTACAATGCTAGCATCAGTTCCAACTTTGCGTGTATACGCGTGGTGATTGCTTCAGTGTTCAGCGGGCAAGGGCAACAGACACGGCAGAATTGTCTCGCAATGAAGAGTTGGGAGATGTAGAGAAGCAAACGTGTAATGTGAGGCTTATTCAATACAGCACGCCCCGCGAATGGTTGCTTTTGGGTGTGCTGAAAGCGGCTGAAAGCAGACCACTTGTAAATAGGGAAGGGTGTTGTGTAGTTCTGAAACTAGCGGCGTATCAGATTTGTGGTTTGTTTGTGATATAGACAATAACACCGGGAAAGGGCTTTTTACTGCGGGCTTGGGACACCTGTGTGGTAGTTATATTGGCCATAATAACACAATCAAGGTTTTTTCGTTTCCTGGCTTGATATTTCTTCCCAACGTGAATGTTCGATAACAAGGAGCTGTCTCTTTCTGTCTTTGTTGCTTTGAAGTTTGTATAGGAGATTGTTTTAACTTTGGTGATGGTTGTTACTGCCTGTACTCGGATCCCCAGGAAGCAGCAAGCAGATTATAAAATCCCCTTCATTCTTCAAACGTTTCCTCTTGGAAACCTTTTCTTGCACGGGCCAGCCGCCTGTTTCTTTTGTCTTAACCATAGATGGAGAGAAGAAAGACTAAAAGCTGCTTGCTGTCTTCCTCCTCGCTTAATTTTTTTCTCTTTAGTCATTCACTTCTTATGTTAATCTGGAAACTAACGTGAAGAAGCTGGTTTCTTAGCCAAGTCTTTGTTTCCGTCCCCTAGAGATGACTGTAGAATTTTTATTCTTTCATCTCCTCTTAAAGAAAGCCAAGTACTGCAGAAATGCGATAACACAGGGGAATTTTGTAATATTTGTATTTTTGCCACCAGCGTAAAAATCGATTTTTTTGGGGGGAGGGGAAGCATTCACAGCAGGTTTTTATTCATTAATGTTTGCAAACGCTCAGAGCTCATTGGATTAGAGGCACGAGATAAATGCAAAGCAGCGTAACTTATTGTCAGGGTTCATTGAGAATGGGCGTGTGAGGAAGAACAGGGGATCCCCGGTTAATCATTTACAGGAAGGAGAGATGGGTACACCTTTGTCCCCTTCCACGTGCACCCACCAAGGTGTGAGTGCGATGGGGTTGAGAAGCTGTACTTAGAGGGGGGCATGGCCCTTTCTCTGTCGGTGAATTTGTATTCATGCGTGCAATATGATTCGCTCTCCATGTGCGGCTGGCGTGCCTGGGAAGGCGGTGTGTGCATGTGCGCACCCCGAAGCATGGAGAGCCGGCCACAGGCTGGTGTCTGTGCATCCTTCTGCTTTTCACTGCCAGCCTGACAATGCCTCGGAGAGGCTTGGTCCGGCTGCTGACGCACGCAGCTGGGCTGGTGTGCGAAGGATGCAAGCGCATCTCTCCACCTCCCTCCTTTCTATGCTAGTGGGAGGCGAGTGCGAAGCCCCTTCCCCACCCTCCCCGCTAGCATCCCGTCTCCAAGTTCCTTGACAGGCAGCTATGCTGGAATGAAGCCAGGGCAGCGCTGCTCCTTCATCCCAACAAGGGTCTCTGGCAAGCAGCTGTGCTGCTGGAGGGAGGGGCGGACGCGGCGCGGCTGGAGCGCCTGCTCCCCGGATGCTTGGTTGCCGAGGCCGAGACCGAGACAAGCAGCTGTGCGCAGCTGGCGGAAAGGTTGTAGCTGAGAGGCTGGAGCATCTGCAGCAGCTCCGGATAGGCACTGTGGTTGCCTCGTAGCATGTCCGGGTAACTCGCTTTGCGAGCGTTTGTCTGCAAGTCAACAGGAAAAGCGCTGCCTCGCCTCAGAAAGAGCCTTTGTTTGAGCGGACAGGTTGCCCCAATCTCCGAAAAAAGCACCTAACAGTTCATATAGCAGGGCTCCTCCTCCCTCGTTAACTCCGCTAATTACAGAGCTGCGGTGGGGCCGGACAGATTGTTCCACTTCTGCCAGGCTGCAGCAAGCTTGTTTGTGCCTTCTACCCTGCCTTTTTCCAGCCCAGAGTTAAGCTTGAGAGCCCCCTTGTATTTTACATGGTTAATCATGTATTTTTTTGTATCACCCTTAATAAAGGAGAACGCACCTGGGCTATGACTTTCTGTCCTGCTAAAATCTCTGGGTTAAGTAGTTTCTTTACAAATGTATGTATTCTAGAGAGTCAATTCATTCTCCACTCCTTTTCCCATTTACAGGGTGCCCACGATTCCTCCCCTTTGGGGCTATGGCACAGCTGTTGGGTCTTGGAATTCCTTCCTTATCTAACTTTTCTTGTGTGTGCAGTACAGGCAGTCCCCGGGTTACGTACAAGATAGGGACTGTAGGTTTGTTCTTAAGTTGAATCTGTATGTAAGTCGGAACTGGCGTCCAGATTCAGCCGCTGCTGAAACTGATCAGCGGCTGATTCCAGGAAGCCGCTTTGCTCTGCGTTGCTCCCCGTCCCCCGGTCTGCAGACGCGTCTGGGCTGTCAGCTGCCCGTGTGCTCCGCGGCTTTGCTCTGCTTTGCTCCCCGTCCCTCTGGTCTGCAGACGCATCTGGGCTGTCCGCTGCCCGCGTGTTCCGCCGCTTTGCTTCCTCTCCCTGGTCTCCAGCAGACCAGGGAGAGGGAGGGCCCCGTTCGTAAGTGCGGACCGACATAAGTCGGATCCGCGTAACTCGGGGACTGTCTGTATATAATGCTAATATTTTAGTTGCATGCCCAAAAAGATGTTTTAAAACTTGTTAGCTTTTCTGTCTACAGTTAAACATGTATCCTAATATATGTGCTTCTGGGGGTATGTATAACATAAATTTTAAATATTTTTAAAAGTAGTCCCTAATTGTTGTTGTTGTTGTTATGATACATAAAAACAGTCTCTCTCAATCAATTTTTAATGTCTAGAAAAGTTCAGTTTAAGCTTCCGGGCTTGTCTCTGAAGGTGGTTTGCAGATTTCCTTTGATTAAGGCCTGAGAAGTGTGGTGTGGAGTGACCGTTTTGTGAGAAGCATTTGCCTGTGGCTCATATGGTGTCTTTGTGTTTTATCGTTTCAGTGTGGGAGTTCATTTGAGAATGTAGCGATAGCTATTGGAGCATGTGATGTTTGTGTTCCTTAGCCAGGGCATCTTATGATAGAAAGATATATAACCCATGGAACTTGAAAGGTGTGGTGTTGAGCATCAAGCAGTGGAAATGTGTCTTCAGGTTTTGCATCTGTTGTTCTGGCAGGGTCAGGTGCTGCTTTGGTGTATCCTGGTTTGTGTAAAGCTTGCTTCTGGTGAGTTTGAGGCATTGCTTGAAGGCCAGAAAAGAGAGGTCAGGAAATCCAGCTGGGCCATATTCTACCCAACATTGCTCAGTTAATGGATATTTGTATGTGAACAGAATATAATGTATCTTCAAAGTCAGGAGATTCAGCATCAAGGTTGACGCTTTCAGTTCTAAATAGCCCTTGATCCTTAGGTGCGCTTCCCACTAATATCAGTTGTAGTTCCAAATAAATATGGAGAGTAGATTGTAGCCCAAATTTATTGTTACACTTGTCAGACTATTTACACAAAGAAGAACTAGATTGTCATGGCACATGCTTAGCTTTATATAAATGTAGCTTTTTTTGTTGGTGGTGGCGTATCTACTGATATATTAAATCAGATGTAAAGAAGGGATAAGGAGAGCACTATAGTGAGCGAAACTCTGCTCCAAATGCAATAGAATATTTGAGACTTCCAGCTCCTGAAAACATGGTTTTTGAAGATGTTTTATTGTATCATGTCTGTAGTTCATGTATCTGTAGACTCAAATCATCTTGTAGACTCAAATCAACTACATTCGTGGTGGTCTACAGGAACACCAGGCCCCAGGTGCGGGGCCTCAGTGGTCCCAGAAGTGGCAGGGCCTTGACCGGAAAGGAACAGAGATGTGGTAGCCAGCCCATAGTGCCACCCAGTTATAATGATGCGAGCCTTCAGAGATGGAAGGCTTTGGAGCATGCTGCACAGCACTCCAGTGGTGATTCTAAAAGGCCTAAGCCTCCTGGATGCTGCTGCTACTGTGACAGCAACTCAGAACCCCGGATCCTTTACTGTCTCTGGGTCCTGGGGCAATTGCCCCCTTTGCCCACTTCCCCACTCCCCTCATCAGCAGGCCTGACCACGTTTCAAATGGTAGAGTACTTTTTAGATACAAGTAATGTAATTGCTCATTTGGTCTTGCATGCCACTGTGTAAAAGTGCTTAATGGGTTACTTTTATCTCCGATAAACCAGAGTCCTCTCCAATATACCATTGTATGGTATGCTTCACTTGATTTATTTTAATTTTCCTTTAGATGCATGTATAGTATCCTGTTGTAGGGCAAATATATGCAGTAAATATGTTCACTGTTTTTGTACAGAATTACTGCCTGCGGAATTGCCACAGAATGGTTAAATGAATTCTGATCGAGATCATTCCCATAGAATGTATTTAGATAACTTTCGTTGACACTAGTGGGAATATCGCACATGAGCATTTAGACTTTTTCCAACATCCTCTTACCCTCTTAAAGGATAACTTGCATAAAGGTCTGAGATCTTTAAAATTATACAGTTGATTTTCAGAAAGTGGTATCTTGCCTCGAATTAGTACTACATCAGAACCGCAGCATGATAGAAATGGACCACAGGGTTGCTAGTAGTGCTGTCTTTCGGATGAGCTGTGAAACCGTGTTCGACCACTTTATGCAGGCTAACTAAAATTCTGCTGCAGTTTAAATGGGATTGGATTAATCATTTTAGACTGTACTACTTATTTACTGCCAAATATAATCTTTTGTAACGTCTAGGAGCTCCCATCATCAATCAGGATCTCATTTTTGGGGGTTCTGCCCAATCGGAACAAAAACAGATTCTGACCCAAAGAACTTGGTGTGTAACAGCTGGTGCATTCCATTTACTTTCTTTGAGGTTGTCAAGGCTGTTCCTCACTCCAGCACTCTGAATGCAGAAGGTGGGGGCCCACCAGAGAGCTTCAATATCTTGTCTCTACAGGCACTGGTTACAAAAACTTCCCCCCCAGAATCCTAATACACATATTTTGGGGAATTTGCTGCCATCATCAAGTGCTTTTTGATCCCTTAAAAACCAAGGGTGAACACGAAACCAGCCCCAGGGTACCCCAAGCTCTTTTGCCTCAAAAAAGCTTGAAAAAGAAAAGAGAAAAACAAACTGCAGTCTCTGGTAGCTGACCCCTCAGTCAGAGGCATGCAGATACACAGACAGACCTTCCAGGACACAAGAATCAAACACCTTCAGAAGTTATTTTTATTACAAAACAAAAGATAAACTTGATAAAGCATGCTTGGTTGCTAGATGTTACAGAGCAACTGAAGAAAACAAATTCAAAACCGAGGAAAAAAATCTCTGGTTCAATACTTAGATGGTAGTAAATGGGGAGAAGAGGCATAGATTCACACCAAGCCGTTCAAACCAAACCACAAAATAAAGAAAAATTACCCTGAACACAACCGAACCCACATTTCCCTGGTACTCATTTCCAGGGCTCGCCAAGCAGTGGTGAGCCCCACTCGCCAGCTGCGCGGTTCTGCACTCTGCGCATGCACAGATCGCTCTGCGCCAGCTCTTCCGGATTGTAATCTACTCGCCACAGGCGAGAAGATTACATTATTTGTCAAGCCCTGCTCATTTCTAATTTTCTCTTTGTTCAGTCCACTCCTGCGCTGAAATCCGTGTGTGTGGGGAAGGAGGAGGCATGGTAGTTCTGCCTGGGTTTAAATCATTCTATGTGTCTCAACTCCGGGTTTAATTCTCCTACACAAAGAAAGCAGGCAGGCAACCTATATCCAATTCAAATTTCAACTCTCTATCTTGACTAGTTGTCCTGGCCCCCTTGCCGACACCTTTGCTAGGTACGGGAAGTTAACCCCTTCGTCACCGGGTGCTGGTCAGCACACCTCCTGCTCATGATAAGAGGTCTATTAATGAAAAGCTCTATACAAGAGCCAAGTTTTTGGTCTGTCTGTCTTAGGTTGCTTACTTTGTAGTTAAAGAGAGTGATACATCCAGTTGGTCAAATAATTTGACATACTATTGGATGAAAGGCATTCTAACTGTAATGATATTATCCAATGTCGGGTAAAGCAACTCTTTTGAGCTCAGGGTCCATTTGTATGTCTTTATGGCCTGTCATGGTCAGTAAATAGCTTTAGCACAACAAATCTGACTTACTAAGTATTTCTTACTCACAATATATAGTATACACTTTAATACTTAATACACTAACTGTGTACACCATGTGTACGATAGCAGCTGCTCCTGTCTGTGGGGCTGGCTGTGTTTGGCATCCTGCTCTGGGTGTTGTGACTTCTGGGGTTTCAATGCTGCTCATGTTTGTCCTGGCTTCCTGATTGAAGAGGACATTTGGAAAGGGGCACATTTATGCAAGTGGGATTGTGAACTGGCACATGGAGTTGCAGTGCCAATCAAATTTGCAATTGAGTTGACCCCTTGGAAGAGCAGTTTGGCCAAATGTAAGTGGGGGCCATGATCCTGTGCACCAGGATTTGACAGAACCTTGATGCATTCTGCTGACCCACAGATTAAGAAACTCTGGATTAAAGAGCCTAAAGTTTGAACTCGGGGAGTCACATTTTGCCTTTTTTATCTCTGCTGGAGTTAATGAGATTGAATGGTACTCTTGATATTTTTATTTGTAACTTTTTAGGTGTCCTATTAGATTTGTGGTTCTTTGGCCATTATGATAATTATTATTGCCTGATTTTAATTACAATCGCTCCATACATATTCCACCCCTTGCCCCAGTACACACAGTTTTTCCACCTAAAATATGTCCAGGTCTGACTCAGTTTAGTATGTAACCTCTGACAAGTTCATTCTTGGACTCTTATGGTTGTGTAAAGCATATGCGTGTGCAGAAGTTCCTAAAAATCAAGCTTAAGTTACTGTGGACATATTCTCCCTTTGCTCCATGTGTGAACTTGTAGAGAAATTCCATGAGCAGATCAAGGAAGAATATGCCTGAGTAACCTGAAATGCCACATGTGGGAGCCTTGTAGTATTAAGTCATGATAACTGAGAAATTGAGTGTGTGTATGTGGAGAGGGGAATTGACAGAGTTCAGAGCTTAATAATGGGAGTACATGTTTCAGGAATGTAGGTTTTGGCCCAAATCTGTGCTGTTTGGGCCCATAGTCACAATTAAAAGCTTATATTATATTTTGTTTTCTCTGCATTCAAGGTATATGATTATAAAATAACTTAAGCAGTTCAACTACCTTGCCTTTATGTATCTTTCTGATTAAGCATTTCTGTGTATCTAAATACCATTTTCTTGTTAGGGTCGTCTTGGAATTGTTTTATTGAACATGTAAAATGAGTGGGGATATGGGGAGAAATTCTTTCTGCTTTTCCTCATGTATATAAATAAAACACCACTTTTTTGTGATTTGTTATGTAGAAAAAGCATCCCAGCAGTTTCAACCTTACCTTAATGGTGTCTTTTTTTTTTTTTCTCTCTATTGCATTTCAGAGATGGTGAGATGAGTTTGAGTAGATCAATGCTCAATAGCTCTGATAAAATAATTCAGAAGGGTGGCTCTTCAATCTTTCAACATTCTGTAGAAGGCTGGAAAATCAATTCTTCCTTGGTCTTGCAGATAAGGTGAGTGCCTTGAATAACAGTTAATTTTGTATTACCATAGCCTATAACTCTGTTTAGCAATCTTATCTAGAACTCTTGATTTACAGTTTAAAGGTGGTTGCTGCTTAACAAAATACTGTACTAATTCTATTTAATATTGCATGCTGAATGACCTGAAACCCTGAAAAGAAGAAATACTTCCATCCAAATGAGTAAGGTGTGTTTTGAAAAACTGATTTCCTTTATGTGAGGGAATAAAATAGAAGTGGCATTGGCACTCTGCAGTTTTCTTTTGTTCCAGTGAGTTACCTGAGGCCATACTGTACCTGATGCTAGGATGGTCACACCACCCAGTAAGAGGTAGCCAAAACCTCTCACTCTAGGGGTGTGTCTAGACTACATGCCTCCTTCGACGGAGGCATGTAGATTAGCCAGATCGGAAAAGGGAAATGAAGCCGCGATTAAAATAATCGCGGCTTCATTTAAATTTAAATGGCGACCTGCGGATCAGCTGTTTGTCGGCAGATCGGGGCAGTCTGGATGCGATGCGCCGACAAAGAAGCCTTTCTTGATCGACACAGGTAAACCTGGTTTCACGAGGCTTACCTGTGCCGATGAAGAAAGGCTTCTTTGTCGGCGCGTCGCGTCCAGACTGCCCCGATCTGCCGACAAACAGCTGATCGGCAGATCGGGGCAGCCATTTAAATTTAAATGAAGCCGCGATTATTTTAATCGCGGCTTCATTTCCCCCTTCCGATCTGGCTAATCTACATGCCTCCGTCGAAGGAGGCATGTAGTCTAGACACACCCTAGGGCTATGTCTACACTACAGAGGTGTTTTGTTTTTCTTTCAGAAAAACGGCCATTTTTCTGAAAAAACTTCATTTACATCCACACTGCAATCATGTTCTTTTAGGGGGGGGGGGAAATTGAAAGAACAGAGGGTCTCCTCCGACATGGGTTAGCCTCTATGAGGAAGAAGCCTTTTTTCTGAAAGGCATGTGTGGACGGGGAAGAGGGAGTTCTTTCAAAAGAAGAGAGAAGAGGTAAAAGCATAGGTGCCCTGGTGGCTACTCTGTCTATAGTAATCACAGCTTAAAATGCAAGATAGCATCCACACTAAATGGACGCTATCTTTCAAAAAAGCAGATTGCTTTTTCGATGCACTTTGGCAGTGTGGACGCTCTTTTAGAAGAAGTTTTTTTAGAAGATCTCTTTCTGCAGGAAAGAAGCCTGCAGATCTAGATGTAACATAGGTTATACTCTGACTTCCTTGACTTCG